AAAATGCAATGCTTATCTTGCTCAACTCTGGGAAACATCTTTATGCTCATTAGGACTTCTGTTTGCACAGACACTAGAATAGACCCATTTTATTGGTTGGAACATTAATTGAGCACTTACTGTATGCCAGGCAGTATGGTAAACATTTTCTGTGCATGATTCCATTTGAACCTCCAAGCCAGATGATTGAAGGGAAGCGCAGATGATTGAAGGGAAGCATTAGGGCATGGTGGGTCGGGGAGCAGGTTCTCTCGTTGTACTCTCCTGCACTTCTGGCTGCGGTACCTGAGACTCTCCTCTGAGATCCCATTTCCTAAATAAGGCTTCATCACTGTATTAATATCAAAGAGTGGCTTGGAGGTTCAAATGGAATCATGCACAGAAAATGTTTACCATACTGCCTGGCATACAGTAAGTGCTCAATTAATGTTCATCATGACAATGCATATTTGCACACAACATCCTTCATGCTACACTCCAAAGACAGGATACAAACCTTTTAACTTTTCTATCCAAGAGAGAGCCTCTAGAACAGGGAAGTGAAAAGTCCATCAATTCTCCTTTGTGCTACTATCAGTTCATTGTAGAAGAAAAGGCATGTGTGAAGGCCAGCTGCATTTGGACGCAGGCCACAGCAGGCTCTGTGCCTGGCTGTCTACCCTACACACCATGTCCTAGACGCCTCCCTTTGCACCCCCTCAAGGCTCCTGTAGCACACTTAACAGTGCCTTCCATCCAGTGGGCTTCAATAACATGTGTTAAACACTCCAGGTTTACAAGCAAGTAATACCTTTCCCCTACAGCTGCTCTTTTCCAAGAAAGAAAAACAACAAAAAAAGGAACAAGTTAAACAGAGGAAATAATATGAAATCACTTACAACAACAGTTCAGAAAATTCTCCCTGGCAGCCCCCAATCTTGCTCATCTAGATTATCTAGAATTGCAAAATATGTTTCCCTAATATTTTGGGAAGAGAGTATCTTCATTTTTCAGCCGTGAAAGTAGTTAGAGAAAGCGGGGGATGAGTGACGCCCTTAGGGAGTTCATAGGAGACAACGTTGTTTGGCTCGGATTATCTGTCTGGCTGTTTTCTCCCCAAGAATTCCAGATGTGGGGGGCCGGGGGTGCGATTGGGCCTAGAAGGGAGCACACAATCCTGCCTGGTCCGTACCAAATAACCCCGGAAGGTTTATCTCCAGAACCCAATCTATGCTGCACGATTTTAAAGGAAATGGCCGTGTCTCGATCTACTTTCTTGTCTGCAGAGGAGCTTTGCAATATTACAATCTGATACTCCCATTGTTATAACAGACTCAGGAAATGAATTTAGCAATAAACATGATTTTTCCGGGCACAGGAATCTGAACATAAAATTTGCTTAGATGGAAAGAAGGCTCAGAAGTTCTGACTTGTGCTGACTGATACCTTGAACTTGTACCGATAGCGGTGTTGCCTGCAATTCTGAAACTCGTCCTGCTTTTGCAGGTTCCTGTTGACCCTCCAAGCTTCAAGCCAGTTTACCTTGCACGCACGTAAGATGACTGTCACCAGCATTCTCTGTGGTGTATACTAGTTCCACAACAGCTGCTGTGCAGAAAACCATGTTCACACAGCCGAAGTTAACATGAAAACCCAGATTATCTTTAATGAATCACTCCAAGTCAACTGTGGACTGAGCAGGCTAGTTGCTAGAAGTACAATGACAAGCACTCATTTCAAGGAACTTACTGTCTAGAAGATCTTTTTAATGAAAAGAGAATAACAATTTCAGTGGTAGTTTTATATATGTCAAGTTCGCCGAGTTGAACTACATTTCCCAGAACTCCCTCCCCGGATGGTTCCATTCAGAGTGGGCCACAAGACTAATCTGCACAAGTTCTGAAAAAAAAACACCACAGCCTGACTGATGTGTTGGCTGGTGGGTACCGCTGCAGCTCGCACAAGTCACTGACCACCTGTATCATCGTGTCAGCACAGGGCAGTACCAGGCGATGCCCTTCAGAGGCTGCCACCTCTTCTCCAGTGTCTTCCAGTCTTGGCCAGGTGTGTGGGTTCAGAGGTGAAGCATGCAGCTGCTTCCACAAGTCACCCACGCCCGTGATGTTGCGGCAGTTTTAGAGACAGACAGGGGTTCCAATTGGTCCCTGTTCTCCCCCACTTCACGTCCAGCTTTTCTTATCAACTGCAGATCCTGCTGGCCTACGGTGACTTCAGGACCACACAGGAACTGAGGTGACAGCCTGACATAAACTCCAGCAGCTCGCACACTTGTGCGCGGTCTGATTCCTGTAATAATAAATACTGTATTCTCTGTCTTCAATGGTGGTTCTGCTTCCCTGACTGAACTCTGAACCCTGAGAGATCCATTACCTGCATTTTAGAAGCAGAGGGACTTCGAGGACAGTAAGGAGTGTACAAGTCTTTCAGTGAGGAAACGGTTGTTACTACATATCCGTGTAGGTGCTAGCACAGCTGGTTGATCTCAGTGACAGACAGATGTGCCGGCTCTGGCAAGTGCTAACAGCCAAATCCCCAGTCCAAGCCTTCTCTGTTCTCTGCCCTAAAGCCTGCTTCCCTTTCCAGCTATGAGTTAGGAGAGTCGTGGAGTGATGGCAATATGATCAAATTCAAAACAGGGAGATCTGAACGTCCCGAACCTGGACTTCCTCGGTTCAGAGCCACATGCTTTGGCACTGAGAGGCCCACACTCAGTTCTAACCTTGGTTCACACACTCAGTTTTTATAGGAAGTTTTCAACTTGCTCTGACAAATAGGAATATGAAGACATCTTCTTTCGCAAGCTTACAGAGGACCCGGATTATTTACAACTCAGGGTCTGTTTGCATTTTAATTCTGTCCTGGCAAGAGGCATCTGCAAAGGATTCCCCCCCACCCCACCCCCACCCCCACCCCAGAAACCTGAAGAGGGAGTTGGTTCCTTAGAGAAGCAGTGAATGTCTTTCCCAGATTCTATAAAGGCTGATCCATCATTGGATTGACTGAATTCAAACACACCACAGATGTGTAAAAAGGTAAGCTGATGGCTGATGGAAAAGGGATATTTTGAGGATCGAGGTCTTTTACTAGTTGCGTTAACCAAGGTGGAGGTCCCATATTACTGAGTCACCTGCTTTGTTGGTGTGTCTTTGTTCCACTAGACTACACGCTTGCTAAGCACAGGGGCCACGTGTCTTATTTTTCATTGTAGCTCCACCAATAGGCACCGTGCCTGGCATATAGGAAGTACTTACTAAATGTTTTTCTGAACTAAAAAAAATCTGGTTCAAAAAAAAAAAAATCTGGTTCTTGTTAAAAGAGGAAACAAACCCATATTTTTCTTTCTTTTTTTAAATCCTCACCTGAGAATACTCCTCCATCTATCTTCAGACAGGGGTGGGGGGCGGATTGACGTGAGAGACACATCGATTGGTTGCCTCCTGCATGACCCCAACCAGGGCACATGCCCTTGACTGGACTTGAACCCATGACTCTTTGGTCCTAGGGCTGATGCTTAAACTACTGAGTCAAGCCAGCCAGGGCCAAACCCATATTTTTCAAAAGATACTTAATTTTTTTTTTTTTAAATTCACCAAAGATCAAATGGTTTTAAAAGATCAAAAAAACTCCTCTGTGAAGGATTAGGGTTAGGGCTTTCCTCTCTCTCAAAACATATTAATAAACAAAAGCAATAAAAACTACCCAAATCACAGAGCACAGCAAGGAAGACTGAGCACTAAGCTAACTGTCATCTACCAACTATACTGTGGTTTCCAGACAGCTGCCAGCCATCGACGCCTGCAAGGCGGGTGTGTGCATTCTCAGCGACACTCTAGCTCCCAGGTGTACCTGGAGACGTCACTTCTCCAGGAGCAGAGGAGAGGCTTCACTGGGGAAACCAGCTACAAAGACTAGTCAAGTACCTCTGAGGTCACAGCCTCTTGTACCCCTAGATGGTGGGCATCCCCTCTGACCAGGCTTCAAGGCTTATATTCACTGGGGTTCCTGCCAGCCCGCCCCTACATTGGCCTTCTCTTCTCAACCCTTACACCCCTTTCCCTGGAGCAGCTGACCCATTTGCCATGGTTTCAAGGATCATCCTCCCTGTTCCGAAGCTCTAGACCTGTATAAATAATGGTAATCGATGAGGCATCTTCCCTTGAATTTCCAGCATTCAAATAAATTCTTTCTTGAGCATCTGGATACCAGGCTTGAGATATATCAGGGAACATCACACGGACCTCCGCACTCATGGGCGTACATTCCAGCGACCTGACGCCAAACTCAGCTTGTTTGAACAGAACTGATTAGCTTCCTGCCCCTGCGCCTCTGTCTTCTCAGGTAACAGCATCACCATTCCCCCGCTGGCTTCTCTGCCGACGCACCTCACAAAATTCCCCGTCCTGTCATGTTCAACCTTATCTCTGCTCTGACCACTCCCCACTGCTCAGAGAGGGCCTGGCCTCTGCCACTGAACCCCGCCTCTCCTATCAGGCTTATCTTCCACTCACCCCGCGTTCCAGCGACGTCCAACGGAGCCTGCCAGCCATTACCCCCATGCCTCTTCTCCTCCAGCATCTCTGTCCTCCCCCTCGGCCCTCCCTCCTCCTCCTGGCCTGGTAAGTCCCTGCTCATCCTCTAAGGACTGGCTCAGTTGGCATCTCTTCTTGGAAGATGTCCTCTATTCAAGCAGACAGCTATTTGCTTTCTCCTCTGATTCAGTTCTGAAGTCATACTGAGCTGCTTACCTGTTTACCTCTCCCTCCACACTGAGAACTCACTGAAGCCAAGGACCAAGCTGCCCATCGGGGACCACCCCAGTCACCCCCAGCACCGTGCCTGGCATGCAGGTGGTACTCAAATAAACAGCTGTTCAACGCTGGTGACCCTCTTGCATTCACATTGAAAGCCTTTTGCTCCCTCGTGAGAATCCCTAATTCAGCAGAAAGGATTTTCTCTTTCTAGGGTCTGAAGGAGCTAGATTAAATAAGATAATCACTCACTTCGCTCCTGGAGGCGACAGCCCGGTGCAGTGGGGTCAGCCACATGTTGTCCTTGGCATTTACACGAGCTCCTGAAACCAAACAGCACAGGTTAGGGGCGTAATGCAGTCAGGGATCTGCTGATGTTACATCAAATGCTGTATCTTGCACTCTCATTTGCCTGGTACGATCGCTGCATTTTGTTTTGTTTTTCCTTTGTATCAATCATGTGCTTTCTGGCAACAACACAGGAGGAGATACCCAGGACAGTAAAAGGGGCAAGATCAAGAACTGAGAATGTCACAAGAACTGGGTACAGACCAGGTGAGAAATACAGCGTCGTACTGGGTAGGAGATATAGTGGTGAGAAGACTGGGATTCTCTGGGACTATGGAAATGTATGTTGTGAAGAATAAAGATCTTTTCAAGTGTGTGAGCATGTGTGTGTGCATGTGCGTGCATGTGTGTGTGTGTGTGTGTGCGTTCCTGAAAGTGATGTATATTCCTGAATATAAACAAATCATCAGATGTATTATTTTCTTTCTAACCATTAAGTATCTTCATCTCACAAGTACACAAACACCCTTCTTGGCAAACTGTCAGCAGTGAGCAGCCTTCCAACGAATGTATATTAGAAGCCAGGTAAGTCTCAAACAAATCCTATAAAGGTGAGTTCTGATGAGATTTCATCTGGGCTGAGAGGATTAGCAGAAATCCGATCCACCCACCAATCCCAACTCTTTCTCTGGGACTAGACAGATACTTTGGGAGGAATAAGCCAGACACCGTGAAGCGTATGCAGGCTGCTCACGGCTGCCTCCCACTATGGGGCGGACACACAGGCTCACACCCAGGGATGCGCCCCATGCTCCCCTCTCTGGAGCAACCACACCCCCGTGGAGCAGAAGCGCCGTGTGAACGGATTCAAGGAAAGTAGCACCTGCCCTCCTTCCGTGGCGCGCTCACCATCCTCCATGAGTGCAAGCCCGCCAGGTCTACAGCTGAACTGATCAAACACCCCAGCTGAGCTTCCTTTTTGGGGGGCTCAGGGTTTTGATCAGTCTTCTGATCAGAGATGGAAAGTTTTGTAAAAGGGCCAGTAAAGCAGAGGAGGAGGAGAAAATACAGATATCTGTGTCAATGCAGCAAGACAAGACTATTTCAGCCTCAGGACACAAGGAAGGAGCTCGTGAGGAAGAGAGTGGAGGGATGAATCAAGGAAGCAAGAGAGCAAGGCGCAGGAGGGGAAGTGTGGAGGGGCCTCTGGGACGGTGCTGTGAAGGTGCGTCAAGCGGAAGCAGGACTGACTAAGCTCTGTGAGGCCGAGGCCAGCCGACTGCTTAAAAAATAGAAAACTTGGTTTTGTGTGTGTGTGGTTTTTGTTTTGTTTTTCATTCCACACCCGAGGGTATTTTTCTACTTATTATCAGATAGAGTAAGAGGGAGGGAGAGAGAGAGAGACAGAGAGACAGAGAAAAACATCGATGTGGTAGAGCCACATCGACTGGTTGCCTCCTGCACGACCCAACCAGGGCCAGAGACGAACTGCAACCGAGGTACGTGCCCTTCACCAGAACCGAACCTGAGACTCATGGGTCCATGGGTCAACGGTCTAACCGCTGAGCCCAACCGGTCAGGGTGTGAGTGTGTGTTTTTAAAGACAACAGGAGACTTTCATGGGTAAACATGTGCCAGAAAAGTAGTTTAAGACACCAGCTAAAAGAAAATAACAAATCATAGAATTTATACAATTCTTCTTTTTAACTGAAGAACAATGACTATCAACAATATTATAGAAAATAAAAACATGATAATCCCCAAAACAAAGCGATAGACTGCCTCCCTGCCCCCCCATTCTAATCTCATTGGTTTGGGATGGGGCCAGGCACAAGTATACCCTAAAAGCTCTGCAGGACCCAAAGTTATTGTAATATGCTGTCAAGGTTGAGAGCCACTGATAAATTGCTGCTTAGTTTATTAAGCTTAAAATGACTTAAATTCTAATTCTACTAACTCCATCCAGGCAGCTTACCTGAGTCAGTTCAAGCCCCTTACATCAATAAGGACCAAATAAAATCAGTTTGCACGTGCTAAGAATAGAGGGCAACAGACGTCTCCCTCCCCAGAGGCAGGAAGTCCTGGGCTAAATGTTCTGGAGTGAAAGGAATAAGGTCTTGGAAGGACAGTGGAATCCATGGGCAGAGGACCCAGGTCTGAGTTCTGATTTCAGCACTTCCTTACTGGCCCAGGGACCGAGAGCCATAAATCTGAAACATGAGGTAACAAGAACACAGTGATAACAGTCCTTGACCCACAGCACTGGGTGGCTGGGAGAATCGAATGAATGCGAAAGTGCTGTGTAAGTTGCAGAGCACTGAAAAATATTAGCTGTCCTTATTTCCAAATCCTCTCCGGTGTTTCGTTCATGTCTAAATCCATGACTCAAGGAAGTGAGAGGCATAATCTTTCTATCACACCTTTCTCCCCCTAGTCTCAAACATGGGTTATAATAACATGAGACAAAAATACATATTTTATTATTCATTATCTTTGACAAAGTAAATTTTGTGTTGCCTGTGTATAAACTTAAACAGCTAATTCAGCCCTGGTCGGGGTGACTCAGAGGTTAGAGCCTTGGCCCCTGCACTGAAGGGTCACAGGTTCAATTCCCAGTCAAGATGACATACCTGGGTTGCAGGTTCGATCCCCAGCCCTGGTCGGGGGTTGTGCAGGAGGCAACCAATCGATGTGTCTCTCTCACATCAATCTTGTTCTCTCCCCACCCCGTTCCTCCCTCCCTTCATTGCTCTCTAACAAAATCAATGGAAAAAATATTATTAGGTGAGGATTAAAAAAAAAAGCTAACACAAGAGAAAGGAAGTCAAAGTCAAATGGCAAGACACGTACGTATGAAAAGATACTTCTCAAAATTCATTAAGGAAGTACTGGGTGAAAAAGGTGAAGGGATTAAGAAGTACATCTAAAACTAATATAATATTGTATATCAATTGTAATTTTAAAAAATTTTAAAGTATTAAAAAAAAAGAACAAATTGGTAGTCACAAAATAGTCATGGGGATAGAAAGTATAGTATAGGGAATATAGTCAATAATATTGTAATAACTATATACAGTGCCAGGTGGGTACTCTAAATATTGGGGGAACACTTTGTAAAGTATATGATTGTCTAACCACTATGCTGTACACCTGAAACTCGAATACAGAATAATACTGAATGTAAATTGTAATTGAAAAAAAATGGACTATTTTGAATGACAACATTCACTAGTTGTAAAATAAAATAATTCAGGAAGTTTTAAAAACTTCATTAGGGAGAGGCAAATGAAAGCAACATTAGCAACCATTCACACTGTTCAAATGGGTGGCAATTATAAAGAGTGACAATGCCAAGAGTTGGCTGGAGTATGGAGCCACAGGAAGACACATACAGACGGCGGGAGTGTGAACTGGTCTAAGCCCCTTCCGGAAGCAATTCTGTTCTGCCTAGGAACGTGGACAATGTGTGTGCCCCGCAACACAGCCATTCCACCCCAATCATGTACCCTAGAGAAACCCTCACACATGGACAGACTGCTCTCTGCAGCATGTTTGTGACAGCAAGGCATGGGAATCCTGCGCATTGACCCAGAGGAAAATGGACAAACACACTGTGCACAGCTGTACAATGGAAGGCTATACCGCCACCGAAATGAACAGGCTGGACTTCTATATATAAACAGATGCACATCAAAATATAATCTTGGCCCTGGCCAGTTTGGCTCAGCGGTTAGAGCGTTGGCCTGCAGTCTGGAGAGACCGGGTTCAGTTCCCGATAAGGGCATGTACCTCGGTTGCAGTTTGTCCCTGGCCCCGGTTGGGTCGTGTGGGTGGCAGCCACTCGATGTATCCCTTCATGTCGATGTTTCTCTCTCTCTCTTCCTCTCTCTCCTTCCCACTCTATCTGAACAAAATATCGAAAAATGTCCTCAGGTAAGGATAAAAAAATATATATATATATATATATATATATATATATATATAATCTTGAATGAACAAATGACATTACAGAGTAATACCTATGGCATAATACCAGTTAGATAAAGCTTTCAAATTTACAAAAATCATTCTATATGTTGTTTACAGATGCACAGACATGAAATAAAAGTAACACACATGGTTAAAGACAATAGATACCAGTTCTGGAAAGTGGCTGCCTCTAGGGAGGGAGGGTGGGGAAAGGATGAATAAGCACAGCCCATGGGCTGCAACTTGTCAATGTTTTATTGCCTTTTTTATTTTATTTATTTATTTATTTTTTTATCCTCACCCGAGGACATTTTTCCATTTTTTGTTCAGGTAGAGTGGGAGGGAGAGAGAGGAACAGAGAGAGAGAGAAACATCGATGTGAAAGGGACACATCGAGTGGTTGCCACCCGCACGACCAACCAGGGCCGGGGACAAACTGCAACCGAGGTACATGCCCTTAGCGGGAACCGAACCCGGGTCTCTCTGGACCGCAGGCCGATGCTCTAACCGCTGAGCCAAACTGGCCAGGGCTTATTGCCTTTTTTAAAAAAAAGATAAAATAAAAATATGGAAACTTTTATTTCATAAAGCTTGGTGTACATGGGTATTAATTACATTATTGTCCATACTTTTCTGTATATTTGAAATATTTACTAATACAATGTTTTTAAGAGAGCTAACATATTTAAAGTTTTATGTTTCTTAATAAAATGAGGGGGGAGGGGGATTAAGTTGCTTTTTTTTTACATTACTTTTTTCTTGGTTAGTGACCCTTGATATAAAAATGACATTCCAGCCCTGGCCAGTTTGGTTCAGCAGTTAGAGCGTCAGCTCGTGGACGAGAGAGACCCGGGTTCGGTTCCCGCTGAGGGCACGGACCTCAGTTGCAGTTTGTCCCCAGTCCCAGTTGGGGTCGTGTGGGTGGCAACCAGTCCATGTGTCTCTCTCCTCCCTCTCTCCCTCCCGCTCTATCTGAAGCTAAATGCAAAAATGTTGTCGGGTGAGGATTTAAAAAAACATACACAAAAAATGCATTCCACCCTTTCCATATACAGTGCTCCAGCCA